TTATTATTATAATTATTATTATTATTATTATTATTATTATATTATTATTTTATTATTTTTATATTATTATTATTATTATTATTATTATTATTATTATTATTATTAGTAAGCATTTTTATTAGTCAGCAACTCCTAAAACACTTTTGGTATAATATGCCTACTAACGGCAATGGCACCTCTGTACGATAATACTGTCTGGAAAAGGACTTAATCTACCTGCCTAGGAAATATTGACAATCTCTGAGTGGCTACTACTACACTCAACAGAGGCCCAATCGCAATCGAGTTTATCTGATATATTGAATACATACTTGAGTATTTAACAATGGGTGCAGACATGCACCCATTATCCAGACTATCAATTTCTATTTGACAGAAACATGTAAAATGCCTAAATATGGTCATGATAAAATCACATCATGACCATATATGGGCATACAACAAAAATAGAATAAGTACAGTAGCACCTTCTTTAGACTAACGAAATTTATTTAGCTTTCGTTAGCTTCATCGGGAGACACAAGGCATACAACAAGATTGAGTATTGTAGTAGTAGTAGTAGAAGCCAGATGAACGTTTACAATCAAGGCATTCAACGGTTTTGTTTTCAAAGAAAATTTTATAATCTGGAAAACGAGTGGGGGACATACTAAAACGCAGTCTATACATCGAATTGTTCATAAATGTTATCTTTCTGTCTTTCTTTATTCAGTTTCAAATGCCTTACAATAAAAGTTGCATTTACATAAATAGATAAAACACATCATTTTTCAGTCAATGATAAATTCAATCAATACAGTGTACCTACTTGTCCGTAACAGCAAAAAAATAAAGATACTGTGCGCAAACTATTGTCCAATCACAAAAGAGTATTTTTTCGTTGCATGCGCCGAGAGTTGTTTTCATAAAACAAATATTTATTAATATTATTTTGTGAAAAAGTATCTTCAAAATTCATGAGCATGAGACCGCAAGACGACCAAATCAAGGTAAAATTGAACGGCAAACACGCACAGTAGGTTATTTGAACGGTGTAGACTTCGAAAATGACTTATATTTCTAATAATTATTATAGTATGGCCTATGGAGGTAGACTTAGGCCTAGGCCTAGACCTCCTACCTAGGACCAGCCAGTCCGAGCGCAAGACTGCTCTTCTAGCCTAGGCCTAAGCCTAGGCGACTAGGACTTGGGTGTCCTAGCTAAAAGAAGGATTGGTTTACTGTTATAGGTCTAAGCCCAAGTCTATGTATTGTGTTTAAAATCAGTGATATTTGTGCAGTTGGCGTTTAGAAATCCTAAATTCATGATGTTTGTGGAAAAATTAATTCATTTATTATTAGTTACAATTTTACATTTTTGAATGCTTGTTTGTAGTATAAAAAGTAGGCTATCCTTGGCTTGGACTGTATTCATATTAATTAACGTGAAACAATTGGGTCTTCTATGCCTATCTATATAACAATGGCCAAGTTTTAGCCTATACAACCATTCAGTATAAAATACTGAATGAACTTAACACTCAAACTACTAGAATTGCTTGTACTGTAGTTGCCTTCGATTGCCTGAAAACAAAATTCATGAAGGAATTCCTAAATGAGCACCGAAATTAAAAGCTGTAGAAGGTATCTAGATATTTGATCAGATTTTATACGATGTTTTTTTTTTTCTTGGGTGAGGGGATGATGGAAAGAGGGTTGCAGGCTGGCTCTAGAGAGGTGGAGGAAAACGAACGAAGTAATCTTAACAGTTAACTACAGAAGCCCTACTATTTACTGTAGTAGACCTGCTACTCATTTCATTTATATTTATTAGAATTCCAGATTTTTAATGTATAATGATTTCTTTGTTTATTTCTTAACTTTATTTTAAAATGTTCAATTCAATTTTGTGGTTGACAGCACTGTTTATGTTTATTTTTAAAATTAATGATAGACCTTTATAAAATGCTTTAATGTGAATTATTTTGTTAGACTGCAGTATATGCATTTTAAATTGTTTTATTATTATTATTATTATTATTATTATTATTATTATTATTATTATTATCATTATCATTATTATTATTATTATTATTATTATTATTATCATTATTATTATTATTATTATTATCATTATTATTATTATTATTATTATTATTATCATTATTATTATTGATACTTGATGAAAACTTGGGAGGAGGATTAGCTCTCATACTTTTCTCAAATGTAATGTCTTGACGACATTCGCTAAATCAGGGGAGAATGTAGTAGTGTGTATTTTTGTGTGGTTTATTAATCTTTGCATTTATTTGAAACACTGTATATTGTTATTCTGTTAATTTTCCTTTAAGTAAAAATAATACAGCACCTATTGTAATTTATTAACCTAATAACTTATAAATAAGATTCTTTCCATTTGCTATAGTCAACAGTGTACCATACCCTTCGTGGTATGCCTTTCATTTTGTGGTCCTATGCGAGAAGTACCCTGTCCACCTAAAAGAGACGTATTACCGCAAACCAAGATAAAAAATGAAAGTCACTTAGGGATGTTTCTACTTTTTTTATATTCTTCTTTAATATACCATAAATATAATATTATGGGCAGAGTCTTTACAGCTATACGAGCGCACTCCCAGTGGCGTAACGCTCTGCAGGGCCCTCGACTCATAGGGGCCTGGGCCCTCCAATAAGGTCATTTCTCTAGCACCCGGATGCAAAATAGGCCTCTCCAGTGACGGATTAAAATGGAGACAAAAAATATATATATTCAAATTTTAAGTTTGTGAGTGCCATTTCCGGCACTCAGGTGTCATAATCATACATTTTCTTACCTCAGCCCCAACATGGTTGGAGATGAGGTAAGAATATATATGATTATGACTCTCCATCTTTAAAATAGACCCCCTCTCTATTTCAAATTTCTGTACCCGCCACTGATATCATATCATATATTTCGTCGTTAAAGCACAATGACAAAAATTTATTAAAAAACGATACATCATAAAAACCCACGATTGGCGACAGAGAGACCCAAAAATGGTTTAGGTCTCAAAAAGCCAAAGAGCCCTTGGCCCCGACCCAAGCGTTATGCCTGCTGCCTCCACTCAATGGAAATTGGGTAGGCTGCTGCCGTCAACGAAATTTAAGTTTTATTAGTTGGATTGAGTATTTTAATTTATAACTTCTCAAAGTTTATGCTGGAGGAAAATCCAGACCCACGTCTAATCGATATGGTATGGTTTATGGGTTTGCCTCGTCCGGAAGGATGAACATGGACTTCTTTGGCGTACACCTGAATACAGATAATGAAATCATGGTTTTCAATCCTGTTTTTAGATTTAGATCTTTCTGTTCCAGTTTATCACTTACGTAATCCTGCACCTTTTTTCAATATCTAAGGGAAGGGTTAACATTACAAAAAATGGATTTATTAATCGACTTCCTAAGTTATATAATTCCTTATGTAAAATTGATCCTTCAGTTGACGTTTTTAAAAATTCGTTATCATGTTTTCGCCGAAAGGTTTTGTTGAATGTTTTTAATAGGTTTAGACTATCTGTTTTAACTTGTTTAAAATGTTTGTGCAAATTTTATTGTATTATATAGTATATTTATGCTTCTTTTTGTTATTCAGCCCTGTAATTGGTGACTATTGTTAGTGTTTGGTGATAATGAAATAAAATTTAAAAAAATATATATATATACATATATATACATATACATACATATACATATATATATATATATATATATATATATATATATAAATATATAT